GATCAAATTTATTAAGCAGAGTACTGACCCAAACTACGAGAAGAACCTTGATTTTTGCCTATGGGGCAATAACCATTTACCATTGCTTTTGCACATCTGGAAATGGAACTAGTAAACTGGGAAAAATATCTTTAAAAAAAAATCCTCAGAGATAGAAACAGGTATTTGAACTGCGTGTCTGGCCCTTGTCTTTCTTCTCTCCTTCTCTAAGTCCTATGGGACAGAATTTTGTCCTTGTCATTCTGCCTCCCCAGTCTGTTAATGTCATGGGGTCCATTTTTACTATATTTTTTTTTCTTATGTGAATCGAACCCAAGTCAGATGAAGGGAGCAATCCCTTTGGCTGTGACCAGAAAGAAATGTGACTGAGTCAATAATCCACAAAGCAGAAATATGGTGTTGTCATAATGAACTTGCCTCCTGACCCAGGACTTTGTGTAGGTCAAAAGCATTGGAAGTTTATTTGATTGAGAGGTGCACAGCTTTCACACCAAAAATAAATGCCTCTTGCTTACTGCTGTACAACCATTTGCTTCCCCATGGACCCCTGGTCTTTCCCTCTCTTCTACCCCAAAGTGTTCTGCTTTCAGGAGAGAAGTGACTTGCAGCATCTGTGCATAACTGAGAACCCAGGTCTTCCTATTCCCATGCACATTTATTTGATTGTGCTGGGGAACTTGGGAAGCAGAAAAATTCAAGTTTTTATGAATTAATTGGATACAGAAAACTTGTTAACCAAGTCAACACTCTTTGCACTCACCGGTGGAAGTACACCCAAATGCAAATTATGTGTTTGAAGAAGATTTGAAGTGGAGAAATGGAACAAAAGGACCTTGTGATTTGGGGACCTTTTGGGCTGAGTGTCCTGTTATTTTCACTTCCACTGTCAAGTTTACCTGGTTTTATTTATTTATTTTTTCCTGCTAATGATTATACGTCCCAGAAGGAAATGCTTTCAGCAGTCAAAGAGCCACAATTAAGGCAGTGATGCTACCTATGGACCTCCTGACTCCAGTGATCACTTTCAGCTGCAAGTCTCAGTGACAGATGGCTTGCTGATTGGAGCCTCTGGCAAGGGAAGGCATCCTCCCAGAGGTGCATCTGGATGCTTTAAACTCCTTAAGTTCCTGACATAACTTCCAGGTGCATCACTTTTGAAAAACAGCCTTTGGCTTGCTCTTAGACTCTTGGAAGAACTGAATGCTTAATCTGAGGAGGCCCTGTGGCTGTCCTGCCTGATGCTCTTTCAGGTAGCTCAACTGGGACCCTGTGACCAGCGGGTCTCACCTGTCAAAGGGAAATGGCATATGGAAAAACCCACTGGCCTGACCCAGCAGCATCCTGGCTTTACACGAAAAGATGGGCAACTGTTCCTTTAGGGGAGGTTCAAACTTTCACTCTTGCCTGAAGCAAGCTGCTGAATCAATGGGGACCTCAATCAGTTGTCTTAAATGCTTCTGCCTGGTTCACCCCTGATTCAGATAAGCTGAAAACCAGACTGCGTTCACAGGGCTGCTTTGGCTTCTCTACCAGCTATAGATGGGCAGAAGCAACCGTAAATGGTTATTGCCCCATAGGCAAAAATCAAGGTTCTTCTCATAGTTTGGGTCAGTACTCTGCTTAATAAATTTAATCTTTTTATTGACTTTTGGATTGTTAGGTTTGCCTCTTTGGAAAAGTACAAACTGCATATTCAAAAAGGGTTTCTTTGAGTTTCTAGTGTGTGGGAAAATAACTGTGACTTCTCATAATGGCTTTCATGTTTGCAGGTGTTCATAGTAAGATCTTGTTTTCTGATGAGACAGGCTGGAAGCTAGCTGAAGATCAAGTCTACATTGTCTGGATTACTCCACTGCTACCTGGGTCCATCAGCAGAGTGGGCATTGCCACACCTAAACCATCACAAACTGAGTTTGTAGCAAAGAATCATATGCATCTGATACCAAGTCCGTCCCTGCTTGCCAATCTTGTGACCCCCGTCAAATCTGGCTTGTTTCTTCATGGTGAAGGAAGTCAATACACAGGGCATTGCCCTAACAGTCCTGGCAGATGGACTGTGTTAGACTTTGATTCTCTACTGGAAGAGCGACTACGGCAGTTGGTGTTTGGTCAAATCCCATGTCTGCTATTTCTGTCCAACCAGCTGACTCCGGTGAAACCCTCATGGTCCTTGAGACCAAGCTATAGCATGGTTTTAGCTTTCCAGACTACTTGCAGTCTGACTATGGTGCAATTTTTATGACAAAAGCCACACAACAACAGAGTAAGAGGCAAGTGTTTAATACACCTTCCATGCTCTCCACCATTTCTAGGCTCCTTGTATTGTCACTAACTGATCAACTTGGTAAGATTTCTGATTCTCTCTTTTGCCTCTGTTACAGTTTAGGAATGAGGTGTCCTGCAAAGGCTCATGTTTGAGATAATGCAAGAAAGTTGAGAGGTAAAATGATTGGGTTGGGAGAGCCTTAACTTTATCAGAACATTAATCCCCTGATATGGATTAACTGGGTGGTAACTGTAGGCACTAGGGTGAGGCTGGAGGAAACAGGTCATTGGGGGTGTGCCTTTGGGGTTTATATTTTGTCCCTGGTTAGTGAAGCTCTCTCTCTGCTTCCTGCTTGTCATATCCTGAGCTGCTTTCCTCCACCACACCTTTTGACCTTGATATTCTGCTTCATTTTGGGTCCAGAGTAATGGAGATGGCCATCTATGAACTAAGACCTCTGAAACCATGAGTTCCAAAGTAAACTTTGCCTTCCAAAATTGTTCTTGCCCAGGATTTTGGTTAGAGTGGTGAAAAAAACAAAAAACAAAAACTGACTAAAACAGCCACCTTCTGAGTGACCCAATGTAGTAGGAAGTTTAATCACTGAATGAAGAAGTTTCTGGAAAAGGATCACCTCCTGCAGTCTCCTTTTGGATAATGTCCATGATTTAGGGGGAATAGGGTCTATTTTGAAAATCAAGGATTCTACCTGAAACATTCCTGAGCATAATGCTTCTTTATGCCTCCTAACCAGCCTCTGGGCATACTGGTTGGTCCACTCTCTGGATGGGTGCCAAAAGTGAGCATAGGAATTCACACTTAGTTCTGGTTCAGCCACCTGGATGTTCACTAAATTTTCATAGTCCTAGATCATAAAGATAAGGCCTTCTCAGTTGAGTATACTGCCCATGTGTGTGACATGATGCCTTTATGAAAATTCTGTAAAAACATCTGTGTCCCTGCTGTAGCTGACCATTCCAAATAAAAAATCTGGACATACATCAGAAATAATAGGCAAAAAGGTGATGTTAGTGTCTGGAATGGGACTGGAAAATTTTCTGGTTGTAGAATAAAAACAGCAACCTTGATGCCTGGGGAAGGGAATGCCTAGTTATTCCATTTTGACCCTGGAAGGCACTCAGAAAAGTTTTAACTCATTTCCTAGGATTATTATGGATGATGGATTTACTTTAGACTTCCTTCTTGTGGACTAAAGTGATGCCTGTGCCATAACTAATACATCCTGCTGAAATATCCAGATTAATATTTCAACCAAATGGAAGGATCATTATTGGAACTTAGTAAGAAATCCTCCTCGCTTTCTACAATTAGGCCCTAATAATCTGTAGAATTTGTTTAGCTACTTGGGTTTAGGACCCCATGGGGGCATGGTTGAGGTCAATACAGCCAGTTTATCTTCCTTCACTGTGTGGAGTCATATCAATAGAAGCTTTAATTAAATACTGTTTGAGACAAATTGATAAATTTGTTCTCAGCCTCTGTTGGTCAGAATAGGGTCTAGTGTACTCAAAGAAAAAATTGTCAGTAGTTAAGGTGGCATTGAAATAAGGAATGGCAATTGTCTGTGGGTGTCATATTTTTGAATGCTATGTAAACTGAGGCACTGATAGTGTTTTGTTTTCTGGGCTACCTTTCCAAGGATGTTTGTGTAATCAATAGCTTTGGAAGATACAGTGTCTCCCTAATGAGCAAAGGATAGACATGCATTCTATCCATTATAAAAGACTCAAATTTCCTAATCTCATGTTTTTTCTTGTGTAATATAACCCACTGCATGTGCAGATGTTTAAGCTGGTGAATTCACATTATTGTATAGAAAGTGAGGCTCCAGGGTCTATTATAACAGTGCTAATACTCTGACTACCACTATTACTATGAGTGGCAAACTTTCTTTTGTCTCTGACTCAGGAGTCTTCTACTAGCAGCCATACCATCTTGGCTGATTAACTTGATATCTTATAGACAGGTTAAAATCTCATTCTTTTCTCAGTTCTTGTCACAAGATGGTACCACATAACATATTAAAAATTACCCACATATTTGAAGAAAATATCTTCAGTATACATATCCAAGAAATTACTAGTGTAAAAGTTCTATAAATAATTGCATATAAAGCCGTCTCTAAATGTAATGATATTGGGGGGTAGGGCTTTAAGGTAAACATTCTGGGGAACACAATTCAGTCTACAATACCAACCTTGTGGCTGCCGTTGTTGTAGACTCCTGGGACACATTAGTGAACAAAACAGAGGTTCCTCCCCTTGTGGGGTTTATTTTTAAGAGGGAGGTAACACACAATAAATAGTAACTATAATAGGTAAGTATATTGTATAGTATGTTAGCAGATAAGGATTGTTATGGATGAATAATAGGAAGAGGTAAGAGGGGTATGAAGTGCTAGCCTTGGGGTGGGTGACATTTTAAAGTAGACCAGGTCCTCCAGTGATTGACATTTGAGCAAAACCCTGAAGGATGTGAGGCAATTTGGAGTATAGATAGATATCTGTCCTTGTTAAGTCTGGTGTTTATCCAGTTAAGGACAATGGGTATTACTGAGAAGCTATAGAAGATGCAATTTAGAGGCAGATAAATGTGGTTGGAGTTCTACCTTCAGGCAAATCAGCCTCTGTACCAGATTGCACCCCCAACACCGTGGATTAAATGAGTAACAGAAACCAGCATGTTGTAGAGCTGATTATCCCTCCCATTATAGATGAAAAATGAGAAAACAAACTGCTTCAATGCTGCTCTTGAACTCCTTCAAGAATCGCTGTCTGATTATCAAACTTATCAGGTAGGGGCAGCTCTCTCCCTATTTCTAAAGGCGTTTTGTTGTTTCCTTGGTTTCATTTCACTGTCAACAGATCAGCCCTTGCTTTGGTGGGAAAGATCAATAGTAACTATACTAATTATCTTTACAAGTATGTCAATCAGCTACTTTCCAAATGGCTTTCCAGGATTAGCTTCTGCCTTGGGTAAGACAAAATTGTTGATGAAATTCAGCTGCCCTGCACTACTGTGAAATATCAAGTAAGGAGTATTTATGGAGCATGCCAGGGACTGCACTTAACTCAGAAGCTAACGAAATCATTCTGTCAACTCCTGATTATCCATGTTATTAAAAAATGAAAGTATCAGTGATTAACACAGAGAGGAGTCACAGAGTATTCTCAGGACAGAAGGTGGAATGAAGCAAACGGAAGATGGAAGAAATAATTCTGGAGGTGAACAGTGGGGAAGGTCAAGGAGATCTAACCCAAGGTCAGCACATTAACCTGGGAGCAGGGGTAGCCAGAAATGAGGGCTTTGAGATATCTAGGCAATTGATAAGCATTGATTTTTTACCAGAGTTCATAATAAGAGTATAGTTTCCTTTCTTAAAAATCCACCAGAAAATAGCTAAAAGGCAGAATATAATTCTTTAGATTATTTTATTATATAAATGAAGTGCCTCATCTATATCAGATCAGGGCTGAGTTCTGGCCCTGAGCTCTGGCAAATATCTAATCCCTGTTTTTCCATGAGTGTTTTCTGCAAGATGAAAAGTTAAACAAACAAACCCAGAATGGCAAGGCAAGTGCTTTCTAGCATTATGGACAAAGACCTCTGGAAAATAAGCAGGGAGCACCTAACCCAGGGCAGAAGTGAGAGCAACAGGCTGGGTAGGTCTCCAGGAGGAGCTAAAGCCTGATTGCCTCTTATTGGAGGAGTTGCAGTTAGCTGTGCCATCCCAGAGTCATTGAACAAACATCAACAAAGCCACCGCAGTGTGTTAAACACTGGTACTAAGATTTGGGATGAAAAAAAATCATTCTGAGATTCAAGATTTCAGACTCTGGTAATGTGAAACTGATAGAAGCAAACTCACCGATGTGTCATCAGATACTTTGAGAAAATTATAAAAGGTGGCATTAGCAGCGCGAGTCTGTTCCACTGGATGTAAGGTGTGGTGGGGTGAATTGGTGTCCTGTGTCTGGGAGGATGACAGGTGAGCAGGATGTGGAATGGAGAAACGTGTCACTGGGGACAGATGAAACACCAGGGCGAGAGGATTAAGATGGGAAATTTAAATGAGGGAAGCAAGGCTTTCCATGCCCCGGGGAGGCACTGGGTTTATTCCTTGCAAATAGGGATATTTATGAGAGGAGCATGGGCTAAACATGCAGGGGGTAAAGTGGCAAAGTCACATGGGAACATTTAGATTTTGAGTCTCTGTGGCTTGAGTTTGGATAGTGGGCTGGAATGGACAGACCCTAGGAGGGTAGCAGGGACCAGTTATAAATGACAGCATTAATTTGGGCACAAAAGGATGAAGGTCTTGAACCAAGACTGGGTATGTGAGGAAAAGAGAGGAATGTGAGAGGAGAAATAAGGTACAGGACTTGATAATTGATTGAATGACAAGGATATTTAAGAGAAAAGGGAAATTGTGTTTGTGTCTTCCAGTCTGTACAATTCAGTGATTAGCCAAGCTTTCCCCAGGTGGTGTGATTATGCAGGAAAAATGAGGGCTTAACAAACTCTGAGATCTTACACAGAGAGTAAAAAGCACCTCAGTCTAAGTTCTATAATGGAGTTTAAATCCCTTGAGTGTCAGTACCTCACTGCTTAATTATTTTAATCTGCCATAGCATAATTTTGTAGAACTTGGTAAAGTAATGCTTTAGCATAGACTACCTTGATATACAATAAAGAAAAACTCTATGTAAACCTTTGGATTTAAAAAAAAAACTAATGAAAAGTTGCATTCCTTATAGTGCTATACAAATTAAAACCATATTAGATTAACAATGATCCAACTTTTTAGGTGTTATATTTTCTTTGTAAAGAAAACTAGCATTGGTGTCCAGGAACCACTGGTTTTACGTGGGAAAAAAGGTATACCTGATCTCCTTTGGCTTCATTTAATTAATGTCAAATACTAGTCGTGGCTTTTTTTGGATTACTAAGAGATTCTAAAACTGAAGGTTATCTTTTATTTCATGCATTATAGTTGTTCAAAGGCTGAGGTTTAGAGACGGAGTAAATTTATATGGACTAACTATAGAGAAAGTTTTATGATAGTGTTTCATCGATAATACTCAGTTGACAAAGTAATTGCTGTTTCAGGCCCTTTTGGCCCGAAGAGCTTTTGTTCTGAATCTGTGGTTTAAATGCATAACAAAAGCAAGGAATCTTTAATGGTACTTTCTTTGAAATTAGAATGTGATTACTTTAAAACATTATGGATAGTTTTTATTGCCTTCAACTATTTTTAAACTGCCATTCTTTTTTAATGGTCTCTATAACTGCATGCTGTGGAGAAGAAAAGCTAGTAGAGAATTCACTTTGGTTGAGAGTTAGGTGAGGACCTGCAGAGAATTCCTGGAAAAGATGTTATTTTTTTTTTTTTTTGATTTGGTGATCATTAGTGCTCTCTATGCCTTCCCTAAAGCTCCACACCAGGGCGTTTCCAGAACAAGGCTTTAAGCCTAATTGGACCAGCTGACAGATCAAAACTTGTCTTTTGGGGATGCTCTATGATTTCAGAAAGGACCAGTGGTCACCGTGATTGTGATCATCTCTCACACACGTACACATCATGTACATGTACAGCTTTTATTCCGGAAGCATGCGAGAGGGGCATGGACAGGTTCTAACCCGCAGTGAGGTCTGAAAACTTTATGATCTGCAAGACTGAAAAAAACAGTGGTCCCCTTTCTGTGAAGAGCGTTGTTAGTTCTCAGGAGTTTGAGGTGAAACAGGTCAAGGTAAAGACTCCTTACCCGGCCGTACATGCTCTGGTATGCCTCTGCAATCATCAGCCTCTGCGCATTGCAGCGTTTCGTGAGAATGTCAATCAGCAGGTCTTTGTCACAGTCTGGGAGAAAATCATATCCGAGATTAGTGAAGCTACTACTCTGTAGTTAGAAGGAATCCATTATCTCATGATAAAAACCAATGTGCACGTGTTATGCCTCTTGGAACATTAAAACAGCAATTTTAACAAAAATGGGAAGTCACATATCAATGCTCTATGAAGCCTGGGTTCTTCCCGTCTCTCATTTTAGTCCTGATAGTACAAATTGTTCTCCTTTCTTTATAAAGAACAGATGAAACCTTCAAGAGAGTAAGAAAATACAGCTTTTCTTCAGTTATCTGTCCTATCCCATCAAAAATGGGCTTCCCTGACTTGCAAGTGGATGAATGGCTTGTCATGGGCACATCTTTCCCACTGTACAGTTAGCCATGGCTTACAAGGAACATGGCTTATGAAGACATGGCTGCTCTTGTTGGGACCTCCAGGAATAGTATCAGAGAAGGAAATTATGAAGTGCAAGGCATGGTCTGCACATTTCTGACAGATGCTGGGAACCCCTCATGCTTTGCATGGAGCGTGGTCTCTCTCACTCCTGACCTAGGCTCAGTATCTGGGCTGTGCATCCTCCATCTCATGTCATGTTGTCACACAGAGAATTGGACCAACTTAATGGACAAATATGTTTAGACATATTTACCTGTAATCATAGTCATAGTAGAGGGACCAGGATGACCTTAACCTTTCCCTGAGTTTAACTAATATTTAGATAGGTTTCTTTCTAACTAAAAGTCCAGACTTCTTTTTCCCTAGGGCATTTTATTGTTGAAAACTGTAGATTCTTTCTCTGCTCCTTCAAGTTGTAATTCTTCTCCCAGTCTCTTGGCGGTTTTACTACTCAGAAATGTTTTTCAAGGATTTGGGGGCCATCTTTGAAATGTTATCCAAAAGATGGAGCCTCTACCTGCCATTCGCTGTATGGAAGTAGGAACCTAAACTTGGATGAGTGCTGGTCAGCATCACAGAGGGCCTCGTCACATTGGCCAAGCTCCAAGCCCATTCCAGTCCCTCCTGCTTTTGTACTAGATCACTCCAGGCTTTATTCTCTCACTCCATACATCAGAGGGGTTGAGCTCAGGCTCACTTCTCTCTTGAAATGATCTTGGTCTCTATTACAGCAGCTCTGAATACAGTCTCCTTGCTTGTTTAATCCTATTTGGTATAATTATTCTTTGATAAGAGGTGATATATGAAATGGATAGTGAGAAAAATAAATTAAAACAGCAGAATGTTCAGCAAGTCATTTTTTTTTTTTTAAACTAAATCCATCCTGGGTAGTCTTAGGGTCATGGGCAAGTTATGAGTCTGGTCCTGAAATGTCCAGTGAATGGGACAGGTGACTAGCATTTACATAGATGACTGTGCCATTGAGAATCGATGGGCGTGAAGGAAAAGATCAGGGTACTTTGTGCACGTGAAATAGTCCTGAAGCTGTATAAGGAGGGAGGGAAGCATAGATTCAGCTCCAAAGACTGAAAATAGTGTCTTCTGGGAGAAGAGGAATAGAGTGAAGTATGATGTGGTGTTGTCTGGGGCTAACCTAGTTAAGTCTCAGAGTCAAAGGAAAATAAGACACAGTGAAGTCTGTTACCTCCTTTCAAAAATGTGCATATTTTAAATAATTAATAGAAGTTTTCTCACTTACATCTTCTGTATTATTCTTATAATCATTATGTTTATTAATCACATATTTATTATTATTTTCTGCTTTCTGTTCTGTTGAAATTATCCACAATCTACCATTGGAATTACTCTTCACTTTTTAAAGTTTTCATAGCTGTTCTTCCTCATTTAACCTTTCAGAGATATTTCAGAATAATTATTTAATGATAATTACTTGAATTTTAATATAATTTTTCTTAAAACATCTAGTTAAAATTACTAGAAACTTAGGAATTGATTATGAGGGTTTTTTTCATCACTAACATGAATCCACCAAATTCTAAAACGTTAAGTAAAGATTAGTAGAGCTTATTGCTAATGAAAGGAAACTTTATTTATCTAAAATCATTCATATTTATGTTCATATTTTTATGTCAAATTTTATTTTTTCACACTTAATGATGAATGAAGACATGGTACTTTTATGTTTATCTTATATCCAAAAAAGAAAGAAAGAAGAAAGAAAGAAAGAGAGAAATTAACTTTTCCTGACATCTGTATAATATTGAAGCAATGTTAGCAGCAGAAAACCCATTTTTTTTTGAAGTTCACATGAAAAAGTCACCAAATAGTCCAGATTCTGGGAAATAAACTTAACAAATTTAGAAAAAATATAAAACACACAAAATTTGCTCTGAGATTATAAGGAAATTAAACTAGAAGCCAACAGAGAGAAAGCTAGAAAACAGAAGAAAAAACAACACACTTCTAAATAAATCATGATGAATGTTAAAAATTCAAATAAAATGAAAAATAAAACACATCAAAATGTGAGAGATATAGTGAATGTAATGCTTAGAGGAAAATTTATAACATAGATTGCATATATGGGAAAAGAAGAAAGATTTGAAATCAATACACTAAGCTTCTACTTACACAGCAAACAACAACAACAACAAAAATACCTAAAGTGAACAGAAAAAATCATAAAAATGGGTGTAAAAATCAATTAAATTGAAAAAAAAGAAATCAATAGAGAGAATCAATAACAGCAAAATCTGGTTCTTTGTAAAGATCAGTAAAATCTACACACCTCTAAGCAGTCTAAGGAAAACAGAGATATAAAATAGCAATATCAAAAACAAAAGTGGGGGCGGGCATTGCTACTGGTCGTACGGACAGTGAAAGGCTAATCAATGAACATCATGGATACCTCTGTGCCCACAGATTTGATTGTCTAGATAAAGTGTATCAATTCCTTCAAAGATACAATTGGCCCAAACTCAAACAAGGAAAAATAGACAATCTGTAAAGGCTTTATCTGTGAAAAAAATTGAATCAGTAATAGCCTGCCGAAACAAAAAAAGTACAAGATCAGATGTATTCTCTAGTAAATTTGAACAAATGTTTAAAGAAAAAAATATTAATTCTCTATAATATCTTCCAGAAAATATAAAAATGTGTAGAAAGAATTATATATAGGTATGCAAGGTGGGTTCAACTTTTAAAAATCATTCAATGTAATCCATCACATCAATAGTCTAAAGAAGAAAAATTGTGTGATTATATTGAGAGATGCAGAAAACGCATTGTGCAGAATACAATACCCGTTAAAGGTAAAAATGCTTCATAAACAAGGAATAGAAGGAAAGTTGTCAGCTTGATAAGGACATCTCTAAAATCTTACAGCTAGCATCATACTAAATGGGGAGAGGAATCAAGAACACAGTGAAATGTTTTAAAAACATCTGTGCGTTTCAAAAAGTCCTGGATGTTTCAAAAAGATTCATTTTGATTTATGTGCTCCTTTGTAGAGATTTAGGACAATTGGCTAAAAATGTTTCCAGTTGTCCAAGATCTCAGAGAAATAACTTGGCAATTACATATGTTGACAGATACAAAATAAACACAGTTGTTCCAAGAACGAGTGTAGGAATTCCTCAATAAGACTCCCAAAGTGCCAGAAGTAAAATCAAAAATCAATAAAAGGAATAGTATCATACTAAAAAGCTTCTTCATAGCAAAGGAAACAAACAGGAATATGTAAAGAGAGCCTACAGAATGGGAGAAAATTTTGCCACCTGCATATCATATAGGGATTTGATCTCCAGATATAAAAAGAACTCAAAAACTTAAGAACAACAACAAAAATTACCCAGTCAATACATGGGCAAAGGAACTAGACAGGCATTTCAAAGAAAAAATAAAAATGATCAAAATTATATGAAAAACATGTTCAATATCTCTAGTAATTAGAGAAATGCAAATTAAGACTACACTGAGATTTCATCTCACTCAGAATGACAATTAACAAAAATACAAGTAACAAGAGATGTTGGTGAGGATGTGGGGAGGAAGGCACACTCATACATTGGTGGTAGAACTACAAATTGGTGTAACTACTCTGGAAAGCAATATGGAGATTCCTCAGAAAAGTTGGAATGGAACCACCATTTGACCCAGTTATCCCACTACTTGGCATATACACAAAGGACTTCAAATCTGCATACTACAGTGACCCAGCACCATCAGTATTTACATCAGCTCAATTCACAATAGCTAAGTTATGGAACCAGCCTAGGTGTCCTTCAACAGATGAATAGATACAGAAAACGTGGTACACATAAACAATGGAATATTACTTGACCATAAAGAAGAATGAAATTATAGCATTTGCAGGTAAATGGATGGAACTGGAGAATATCATGCTAAGTGAAATAAGCCAATCCCCCCAAACCAAAGACCAAATATTCTCTCTAATATGTGGATGCTGACTCACGATAGGACACGGGGAGGGTGGAGAGGGAGGAATGGAGGTTCATTGGATTGGACAGGGGACAATGGGAGAAGGGAAGAGATAAGAGAATGGGCAAGACAGTAGAATGTCTGTGTTCATATATGAATACACAACCAGTGTAACTCCACATCATCATGTACAACCACAAGAATGGGAAGTTATTCTCCATGTATACATGATATGTCAGAATACCTTCTACTGTCATGTCAACTAAAAAGAACAGATTTTTAAAAAGTTCAGTAAATAAAAAAAGAACTCATAGGTAGAGAAAACAGCTTCTAATAGCAGGGAATTAGAAAGCAGAACTGCACAGTTAGGGAATGTTAACTGAGAAGTGTTCCTTTTAGATTAAAATTAGTTAAGTTTTCACACAATTTAATACAACTTTTGTTAAAACTATTCATTTTAATTTGCTTTCAGATTTTTTCTAAGTCAAATAAGCTCCAGGGAAAACATCAGTAATCGTCCTTTTCAATTGCCCTTTGCCCGAGTCATCAAAATGGATGGACGGCGGGTTGAGCTGTGTTCTTGCTCTGGCACACTACAGTGGACACTAGGCAATCAAAACCAAAGCTTCTGAAATCTTTCAGCCTTGAACATTGAAAAGCAAAAAATTACGATGGTCAAAATGAATCCATATTCTGACCCTAAAATTGCAATGACAGGAGAATCAAAACTGGAACAAAGAAAAAATAATGTTGTTTGGTGAATAGATTGCTCTGACCTATAGTTTTAAAGCAAAAATCATACTCTGGAAGAAAAAGTTAATCTGTAACTTTTCCTTATCTTGTCCCTATATATTTTTTTTTTGCCATGATTGATATTTTAAAAGGCATGAAAGCATTGAAAATTTTAAAGTCAACTTTAGAAAACATATTTAAAGGTTTTTATTGTTTTCCTACGGGATGAAGCTAGTGAATAAAACACACAAATGTGTCTGTAAGTACGTACACACACACACACACACACACATACACACACACAGAGTTCCTGTAAAAGTGACCTTGTTTTTCTATTCAAGAGCTTGCTTTCTTATGAAAGGTTTTGAATGTTTTATGCAAACATATCTTTAATGTTGTCTGAGTTTATCTTTGTGCTCACTGAAATTTTTCCTAAAATGGGTTTTAAAGAAAATACATGAATATTTAATTATTTTGCATCATATTGTAAAGGTCAAATCTTTTTTAAAAAAATCCAATAATTTTCTTCCTTTTTCCTTTTTGTAGTCTTTTTCTCCAATGTCGTTCATTGAACATCTATTTGGCACCAACGAGCCAAACTCGGAACTCTGAGAGCTCACAGTCCAGTCAGCAGGTGAGGCTGGCACCAGCACAGCACAGGTGAGGCCAGGGATGAGAGCCAAGAAGCAAGGGACCTGGGATGGCGCAGCTGGTTGATTTTGGAGTGCTCAGAGAAGAAGGCAAAGAGGAAGGCTCATTGCAATAGATTCTTGAAAGAAGAGAGTTTGGATGAAAAGTCAAGAGAAGAAAATAACACTCCAGGCAGGGAGATTATTGGGCCAATTTACAGAGATGTGAAAAATCAGAGCCATTTGGGAGACTAGCAAGTTTGATTTGGCTGGAAGTGAAGATAGCAACAGAAATAGGCAGAAAGCAAACAAATGCAAAGGGCAGGAAGAATGTTCAATGCTGGATTAAGGTGTTATGCTTTGAAATTTCATTTAGTAGTTAGTGATGAGGTATTTAAGGACTTAAGGCAAACATAGCAAGATCAGACTTGCAATTTTGCAAGCTAAATCTGTTCACCATGATTAGCCTTTACTATTGTTTTTCTTCTCAGTTTTTATCTTTGTCCAATTTTTTGTTTAATCTGCATTTGGTTTTTGTAAAACATCAGCTATTTTATACCCATAGTAGAGACTTAAGGTAAAGCAAAACCAATATTGCAATTTAAAAGATAGCAGAAATTTCTATTCTTACCAAATCCTTGGAGTGCTCCCCCTAGCATTTGGGCATCCATTATGGGATTGAAATTGGGAGCAGGAAAGATGGTTCCTTGCGCCTGGTGAGAAAAGTTGATAAGAAAGAGATTATAGTAATTCACATGAATGCTTTCAATATTTCTCCAGATAAATGAATACAAAGATATATTCTACATATTTTAAATACCAGAAGACATGTATAGAAGTCTCTTAAACAAAGGTCCTAGTTACATGCTAAGTATAGAGAGCAAACTTGATGGGGTTGATTTTATCCATTAGGGCCTCTATGATTTTGAAGTCTATTATTTAAATTGAAAACTGAGATACTAAAGCCAATGCTAGAAAAATGTGAGGATGAAAGTAAACAATGAATGTCTTTTTTTTTTTGAGAGAGAGAGAGAGAGAGAGAGAGTTTTTTAATATTTATTTTTTAGTTTTCCGTGATCACAACATCTTTATTTTATTTTTATGTGGTGCTGAGGATCGAACCCAGCGCCCTGCGCATACTAGGCAAGCGCGATATCGTTTGAGCCACATCCCCAGTCCTGTATGTCTTCTTAGCAAACAATAGCATTTTCTTATGTATTGGAGACCATTTTACAGAACTGAAAAGAATTATATTAGGACAATGCATGTCATTCATAGGAAGAAGTAGCACTTCCTGCCACAGCTCGTTTGTGCCTAAGGGGCCCTCAATCACATGAAAGAAAATTAAAATATTTGAATTGGGGTTATAGGATTCATAAAGATCTGGGTGATACAGATAGGGCAGAGATGATTTATCTGAAACTTGTCGCTGCAAGGGAAAAACATAAAAACCTGACTGACATTTCATTTAAATTCTCTCTCTTGCCAAGAATAAAATGGCAGAACATTTAAGGCAGGCTTTGGAGCCACATGTCTATTATTTGAGACAGAGCCAGCCAGGACAGGTACCGTATCATAACAGCACGAGAGAGTTGTCAGTCAAAATTTATTAAAAAGAGAGACAACTTTCCCTATTTGTTGTCATTATGTCCCAAAATATTGAGGGGGAGGGAAATGGTTTCTTAGAGTACATGAGCCTACAAGGCCTTAAGAAAAACTCAGATACTCACTGAGCTTTTCTTAATAATACAATCATAGCTGAAGATAAAATAATAGTATGAAATAGTATATATATAATGTGTATTATATATATACTAATATTATGAAATTAATTAATTAATGAGAATTAGACTATAAATCATGAACTACATGAGACCTCAAGTTTATCGGAGATGGCCTAGAAAGAAAGTTCTCTTGAGCTAATCTCTGAATCTAGAAGCTGATTTTCAGGGAAGAACATAGTAATATCAGGAAAGAACATAGGAAAGGTATCAGGAAACAACAGAGTAAATACAAATAAAATTTTGGTTTTATCTCTATTTACTAGCCTGTCACATCTGGTGAGACTCTATTAAGATAATAGACTGATTCTTCTTTCATTTATTAAATTAAGTTCAGACCACAGACTCTAAAGTAAATTTGTAGTTCGATTCTCCTGATTTCAAGCATTTTTTTTTTTTTTTTTTTTTTTTTTAGATTTTGAGCCTAGAGGAGCATGAGAATTAAATTTTTGAAACAATAGCCATCTACCTTTAAAGGCGAAAGACTGCATTTGTTACTGGCTTTTACTAAATTCTTTTCATCTCTGTCTATCTTCATCAAATAGATGGCTATTTTGTATTCACAGAGACATTGAGATTATCCAAGGACTGTACTCCGACACATGCACAGTATGTCCCATTATCAATATCTCCTACCAGCATGGTACACTTGGTGCATGAACTACATTGTCATGTCATAATCCCCCACGATCTGTATTTTACATTGGGGCTCACTCTTGTTGCTGTACATTCTTTGAGGCTGAACAAACTTATAATGACATGCACCTACCATTATATCACACAGAGCAGCTTCAATGCCCTGAGGAATCTCTGGGCTTCCTTCACCTGTCATGCTGTTAAAGGTTTTTGGAGGAATGAGTAAGGCATACTTTATTAGAACACTTCTGTGAACATTATCACTTACTGTCTGGATGGCCTTAATCTTACTGAGTGCTATCAGTCAAAGGCAGATTAACCTTTTGAGATTTAAAAGAGAAAGTGTCCTTGAAGACAATAAGATATATTGTTAAGTAGGTGTAAGTTATCTAGACAATTTCTCACATGGACTGAACAAATGTCTGCCAGAAAACATCTCATTAGTGGCCTGGCTAGAGTCTATCCGAATTTCTACTGGTGTATTGCTATAATGAAACTATATTCCTTTTTGGAGCAAAAAAAAAAAAAAAAAAAAAGCTCTGAAAGTTACAGATAAGGAAAGTTAGAAATGTCTATAGTGATTTATCAGACAATCTGCACTCCACATTTTTCTTCCTGTGATTTTTTTCCCTAAATCCTGTACAGGTTACTAGTACAGTGTAATTTTGCTGTAGAATGTATGAATTTTTTTCTTTACAGTTATTTTCTTTGCCATTTAAGAATATTAGTTTTTTTTTTGCCAATTTGCCTTAAAATAATACTCTAGAATATTTTTTGAATAATTTAACATTAAAAAGTGAGTACTTAGTAATGCACAAAACACACTTTTTAAGTAAACATTTGTTATTTGTATCTATTTATCTAGCATATTATGTCATTAAATTCATTTCAATGTCAATTATGCCGCAGTAAGGTTGAAGTCAGCCACATTATTGCATGGAAAGCACATACTATCACTTATTTTTTTTTGTTAGAATACTCACTCTGTCTTTTACTGATCATTTTGACTGAACTGACCAGTTGAATCTACTGAAAGGGTCAATTACAGGTCTTAACTTTATTTATTCCCTGAGTTGAGCAATTATTTGAAAGATTACTAATTCCTTTGGGATGTGAAAGTCTCTTCTTAACTTTTATAAAACTACCATATCTAGAGCTACTATTTGTTTTGAGGTTACATTGACCTTCCCTTGCATATACCCGGACCCCCCAACTTGGACTAGCCACCTCCCCTGCATTCCTTAACACCCAGTACCAACTAGGTCCTCTAGGAGGTGAATCTGTTCTGTGTCTTCTTTCACTCTCTCTTGCACTCAGGGTTTTTTTTCTTTGTAATTAGTACCTTATATTTTCTCATTTGTTACCTGTTGTTAAAACTTATCAAATCTAGTATTATATATTGCTGTACCATGTACTTGTTCTATGGTTTCACTTTTTAATCCTTCTAATTATATTTTATGTCCCTTATCTACAGACAATAGGTAAGTCTATACTATGATTGACTCTATACTAAGTCTTCTTTTTAAATAGTCTCATTTACTAGTGATATCATGATTAATTTTTTTCCTGAACTGTTTGGGTTTCACACCATTTAATCAGCATGTTTGAGGTCAACTTACATGCAGACCTCCACAAGGTCTATGGAACAAGTCTCTACCTGAGCCTTCTAGACTATACATTCTCAAAGGTTTGGATTTTATATCATGGTATTTGACATTAAAGTGATTGTTGATTTCACCTTTTCCAAGTTTTCATTGGAATTCCCAGAACTTTGATTACATAGATTCCTTTACAAAATCAATTTGAAATTTGGCCAAATATGATATACTAACTTCAATTTTAGTTCTTATCTCCCTGTATTTTAGTTCTAGTATTATAGAAGGTTATGATGGACTTAAAATATCTGTGGAAATTTCCAGTTAAGTTACTTATTTCCTAATCACTTGATGGCTGTAAGAAACATCCTTTCCATCCTCTTTTTACCCTTTTATTTCTAATGATATTAGAAAGTTCAGAAATAATATCAAGATGCTATGGACTTGAAGAGACAGATTTTAGAGAATGGGTTTTATTTGTTGAAGATGAAAATACAGGATGAAATCTGATCAACTGAAGACAATGAATTAAAGAGCATATTTAAGGGGAAAAATGAGACACTATGGGAAATAAAGAAAAATATTTTTGGTGTGCCTTTTTGAATGTGGGAATATGATATTTTATATTCCCAAACACCCAAGTTTGAAAGTTAGTGAATAGAATAGAATTTTTACTTGAAGCATTTAATACATTAATAATGTATTTTAATCAGTTTTGAGATTGATTTTTTGGTATTATCAAAAGAGAATGAGATAATTAGCTTGAAAAAATATGTGCATTTTGATTAAATTGAGGCTCATACTTATTAAAATTTTATAGGATTGAAACTTTCTAGATTTGAATAATTAGATAAGTAATCTTAAATTCATAGTTTAAATAACTTTATTTTTATGCATTTATTTACTACATAACAAGACAACTTAAATATTGATTCTAGTTTTAGGTGTGATAGCTTAACACATCCCCAGTCATGTTATTCATCATTCTGTTTATTCTGTTAAACAGGTAATCTATGTAATTGGTTGAGCTATTTACTGTCAGTAATTTTATTAATATAAATGAAATACATCTACATAACTGATTCAAGAAAGAGGGTGATGAGACTGGGTATGTAGCCAGAGGTTGTGTGCTTGCCAGGCATATGCAAAACCCCAAGTTCAATATCCTAGTTTCACCGATTGAAAAGGAGGAGGGAAAAAGAAAGAAACAAAGAAAAAAAAAAAGATGATAAATTATATCAGAAAAGTCTAACAAAATACCAGAAAATTTGAAGGAGAGAGTCCTCAAGTGAAAAATAGGACAAAAGTCAAAAGAAGGGCTTTGGGAAGAGGTTTGTTTATTCTTGTTTTTATGTGTAAACACCACATATTTGCTTAGAGAATATAAGTAGTGCAGAGAATTGCAAACACAAAAGGAAAAAGAGCCCTTAAATCTCACTATTCAGAAGTAACCATAAGAAACATCAATTGACTAAACAAATAGAAGGATATTTTAAAAGATAAAATTGTTATTTTATTAAACGTTTATGTTGAAAAGATAACTATATATGACGAAATACCAAATCTTAAGTATACAGCTCTACAAATTTTTAATAGGTATATTCCCCCGTAGAATGCCTTAGATGAAGATATCCAGCAAGAAATACATATATTTTAGGAATCACAATTATGGTAAATACTACTTAAATGCAATGAAAAAGA